CTGTCAATGTTATTAATTCGTAAATTTGTCGCGTACAGTAAAAAAAAGTCGGAAAATTTACGCACAGATTAGCCGACTTATCTGGTAATTTGTGTACATTTAAACGCACCAATTGCGATTCACTTTGGCAGTTGAAATAATCTCCAATGAAAACAGAGCAAATCTCGCATTTTATTGCAGTTCAAAAATAGCTGCAAATAAATAATTTGATAACTTAAATTCTTATTAAATAAAGTCCCAACTTTGCCTTGCATCGAAATCTCGTTCGTATTTCATTCAATTGGACGTCAAAATAAGCTAAGAAAAGTGTAAGCAATGTAATTCGTAGCATTTATGAAGTGAAATACAAAGTCTGTAAAGTTGTAACGACCCCTGAATTTATTTATCACGCTGTTCTATTCACTTCATGACGCATCAGAGACAAAAAACACTTTCAATTGAATAGGATTAATAAATAAACTCTCGGGTCATTTTTTTCACACTATTATTATTTATTTCAATTGTCACCGAGCAATTCGTGAGTCAAAATCGAATTTTTCTTCAACTCTTGCGCATGTGACGTTGAGAACCCTTTGCAAAATGTGAATGGAGAAATTCATGAGAGGCACAAAATGACCAAATTAAAAGCCATTGCGCGCTGGATTAAAATGCAAAGCCCAAATTTCTTGCGATTAGGAATGTGTGCTCGACAGGAAATGTGTCGAAATTGTGCGAGTTGCTCGAGAGCGGCAAATCCTACATCCATTGAGTGACATGAAGAGCCGAGAAATCCGGAGCCAGAACGGGGATTTGGGTCACAAAGAACGCTAATTAGTTTTCCCTCGGGATTCACAATATTTGTTCTAAGAAAACACCAAACGAGAAACACAAACAGAGAAAGTCTTTAGTATTGTTTAGTTGACAAAGAAAACTCAAGGGCCACGAGTTGTTAATAATGTGATTTAGTGTGTGACTCTCAGTCAGAGGAATTAAATAATATCGCACAGAGGAATGGCACGGAATTGTCGAAGCTAAAAATCATTTTGGGATGAAATTCTCCACTTAACTCTGCGATATGCCAACAATCCGGGCAAATTCCCGTAGCAATATTTCTCAGGAAGCGACACTGAAGGAATTGCCAGAGAGATAAGATGAGGCATTCGATTCTCCACTCAGTCCAGGATTATCTCATTTCTCGGGGGGAATTCTGTGCCAATCGTGAAAAACAGCCTGAATTGAGGAACTTCTCTCTCTCTCTCTCTCTCTCTGTCTCTCGCTTTGCGTTTTATTCCCAATATTATTTCATTCCCACATTTAACCCCTTTCCAATCTCTCTTTGTCCTTCACTCGACGCGCCCAGGAAAGAACGGGAAAAAATTTATGTGAATTTAAGACGCCTCCTCGAGAGCTCCGGAGTATTTTTTTTATATCATCCCCACGGAATTATTTGCGCTCTCAATGAGAGTAAATCAGTCTGGCAGAGGCGACTCCTAAGTAAACTTTTCAATTTGTCCCTCCCATGAATGTTAATTTTGCCAAATTAAAATTCAACATGAAACACTTGCAAGCAAAAGATTTCTAATTAAAGTGGGGATGAGGGTGGGTTTTTTTATCATACCCACGAGACAGCGAGAGAGGTGGAATACACAGTTGTGAAAATTAGTTTAGGACGACCCAGAAACTTAGGCCAATTTTCCTTTTGATGCTAAAAATTGTGTATTTCTTTCATTCACTTTTTTTCTAGAATTCAAGCGTTCCATAATGTTTAGAAAGCCTTGAATTGTAGCGTTTGTAGCACACAAAAATACTTCGAGGAAATTGACCTAAATTTCTTAGGTGTCTTAAAGAAATTTGCACCACTGTATATACATAAATTCGCAGATATGAAGCATTTTTTATGATCTGCACCACTTCGATGCCGCGCACTTAATTTGATATCACAAAACCATTTTTCTCACCACGATAAGCAGACGGAGAGAGAATCAATTCATCAAGAAAAGTGCAGCATCGCTCAAAAGGGTGCACGTAATTCTAGCATCGAACTAAATTAATCCAATTAACTTTATACTCTCGCCTTACCAATTTAATAGTTCAACAGATAAACTGATTATTTGTCTTGAAATCGTGTGTGATTTTAATTAAACACGATGATAGAAAGCACAATTCTGTCAATTTTCCACAAATAGTTGAAAGGAAGAAATAAATTCAACCGAGAAAGACGGAAAAACTGAATTATCCTGAACTAGAACTCTGAACAAAGTCGTAAACCTTCGATTTTAGGGCAAGAAACGCCAGAGAATTCACGTAATTAGACTTAGTGCTTAGGAATATGTTGTAAATTCTGTTTTTATCGCAGAGAATAGGAAAAAAAAACCGAGCAGTTTTCGTCATTAGAATCACGTACTTTCTCATATCACTTGAGTTTAGTTTGCGATCATATAAATTTCACGAGATGATTTCAAAGGGAGAAATATTTCTCGCCAGAATAATATCGTGTTTCTCTAAATTGCCCGTATATGACGACGCTCTCCATTGTTGGCGATACGCTGTGCCTTTTGTCCGCTGGCGAGGAGGTGAGACGAAAGGCAAAAAGGGCAAGAAATGTGGCTACAAAAAAGCAAAACCCAGAGATATGGAAGTTCTCAACTGTGGTCATGGGAAAGAAGCATTAGAGAGTTGCAATTAAGGCAATAGAGGTGGAATTGTGTTACCTTCTGTTCGCCAAGAGAACACAGAACGCTAGGGATTAAATGCTCGGAAATGATATTCGTACGAGGGAAGATTGTCATTTTACAATTTCTGCGCGTGTGTGAGAGAATATTTGTCCCATCTCAAGATCGGAAGTCATTAATGGAAACATGAGGCGCAGGTGGGAAGAAGTCCGCATTTCCCTCCTCTTTGAATTTTGAATTGGGCGAAGTTCGCTCTGTTAGTGAACGAGCGAAAAATTGAATGTCGCAAAATGGACTGAAATTATATCGGAGAGGCCAAATATGACGTAATCTAACGAAAAAGTGCTTCCACTAGAGCTTGACGGTGTTAAAAACAAACTCTAACCTCTCTGTCCGCCATTTTGAAGACTCCAGAAACACATTTTCCTCAATTACTCAGTCCCTATAGTATGGATCAGGCTCAAATTTGAGTATGTTATAGCAGACTTCCAGAGCTTTCCATTGAACCCCTGCATAAGAACCTAAGTCTTTAAGGGCCCTAGATTTAAGGGCCCATATTTCAAAATTAAAAATAGTCATAACTCTGGTTCTATTTCTCCAATTTGAATGAATTAAGATCCTTTGGAAAGGTCTTGCAAAACTCTAAAACTTCATTAGAAACAACACAAGTTTTTCTCACTATTACCGCTTAAGAAGTTGATGTTAACATATTTAAGATCAAAAATTCAGTTTCTATGTAATTTTTTTTCATATTTTAGACCATAGAAGCCCAAAAGATCCTAAGTTATGGAGCTTTGAAATGTTACGTACAAATCGAGCCATAAGGTAACCTTGGCGATTGCTTATCACGTCCTTTGGATTCGCACGATGGACGCACTTTTTTACGTCTCTCTCTCTCTCTCTCTCTCTCTCTCACTCTCTCTCTCTCGGTGCGCCTCAGTCGCGAAGGGTGGGAAACGAGGTGGTTTATTGATGAGTAAATGGATGGCGATTGTCAGGGGAATTTCAAGTCCCGGGCTTATCTTTGCCGAGAGTCCGTCGTTGAATTAATAACCATCATTTCTCACAATTAATTTTCAAGTGAGATTAGGTCGCCGGAGAATTAATTCATGCTTAAGTGATGTTAGATAGACGGAGCACGACTCCGAGAGCGTTTCTGGATCAAGTCTGTGGCGCTGAATGGGCGCCCGAGGATCGCTCACGGGGAAGCAGGTGAGCCGCTATCGTGGGCCATTTGAACTCTATTGGAATTCCCTCTCGAGAGACGCGATTAGGGAGTGTGTTTGTTCACCAGAACTGAGTAAACTGTGTTGGCTGGGGTTAGAGAAAGGCAATATAACAGTAATAAATTTCCTTCCTGGCCGTTGAACAAGATCAATTTCCAGAGCTTCGAGAGAATTAAAGAAATAAATAAAGAAGAATTCTGACCTTTTAAATGAAAAGTCGCCGATTCGCTTTGGGTGTTCCTCTTCTTTGTCCGATTTTTTTTTGGATCTGCTGCGCTGGAAAAGCCTCCTTTTTCACCTCCTCCACACCTTTTTCCTTCACTCACTGTCACTTCTTCTCTGTCCTCAGCCGAGAACACTTTGCAAAACCACCGGATTTTCCTCACTATCTCTCTGTCTTCCAACTGTGATATTCTCGCGCTGAAAGAGCCGGAAAATTTGGCGGGCTTTTTCCCGATCGCACGGAAAATTCGCTCTTTTTCTGCCCAGTGGGACTTCAAAGCGCCACAAGCAGTCGAATGTGTGGGAAAAAAGGGAGAATCCTGTCGCGGCAAACGAAAACACACTTGCAAGGAATTCTGCAATCGATTTTCGTGGGAATTTCTTTGCGAAATTTATCAACGGAAAAGAACCACTTTTGTCTCTCGAGCCTTCCTCTCTCTCTCTCTCACGCTCTCAGCCGCTCTCTTGCGCGATTTTCAGCCCTTCTGGGCGCACAAATCACCACTTGTCGCCTTCCCAGCCGCTGGAAATGCACACGAGCCTCGAATGGCGTGACACCTGCCTGGCTTTTCCGGTAGGAAAATGGGGAGGAAACTCTGTGAGTGCTCTCCTGCGGGCAAAACAAACAATCGCAATCCTCTCGCCGTCGCTTCTTCTTGTAAACTGACGACGCCGCTGGAAAGTGGCCGCGATGCCATCTGCAGGCGCATCGGGCAACACTTTCAGCGGGAAACTCGCGCCGGTGCGCCGGAAAGTTGGCAAAACGCACTGCTGGCATGCAATCCGACAGTGAGAAAAATCTCCAGGGAAGCCCGAGGAAACACCGAAAACCACCCCCAAAAGACGTGATCCAATGACCAGAAATAATTGCTATCAACACTCCGCAAGGACACCAAGGACGTGAGATGGAAAGTCATTTTATTGACCACAAGAATTTCTCAATTACAGACCAAAATCTGCCAAGCAGAGCGCCAGGAGGCCTTCCGGGAGCCTCGCGGGCCGCTGAAGGGGCTCTACTTTAGCTTCTTCTTGGCGCGCAGGTTGTTGGTGTGGCCGCACTTCTTCTTGCGGCAGTTCGTGGCCCTCGGATGGAGGCGCGCGTAGCACTTGCGGCAGATCATCTTGTCGCAGTTGTACTTCTGCGCCAGAATCCTCAGCGAGGGCTCAATGATGCCACCGCGGAGACGCAGGACCAGATGGAGTGTGGACTCCTTCTGGATGTTGTAGTCGGACAGCGTGCGTCCGTCCTCCAGCTGCTTCCCGGCGAAGATCAGACGCTGCTGATCGGGAGGGATTCCCTCCTTGTCCTGAATCTTCGCCTTCACATTCTCAATGGTGTCTGAGGGCTCGACCTCAAGGGTGATGGTCTTCCCCGTAAGGGTTTTCACGAAGATCTGCATTTTGATGCTGAAAACAAGGGAAGACGTGAGAAAATCACTGAAAATATTCAGCTTGACAGGTGCAAAACAAATTTGGCATTTTCATGCGGGAAATCAATAAAATCTCATCGATTCACAACACAAACAATGATACGGGAGATTGTGGTGATTTGTAGCATATTTTTGCACTGATTTCAGTAGAATTTCACGGGAAAATCAAAGAAAAACTCACCAATTTGGCTCAACGTGGAGACAACCTCAAAAATCACTCAACGAAAAGATGGATGACAACACTTGACGAAAGTATCAAGACGCACGGTTGAATTTACTACACGTAGAGAAAGAAATGGAGATAATTCATTGCATTCCACTCAAAATATTAGTAATGAAATTATTCTAGATTATTAACCAAATTGGGAATACCTAATAATTTAGCTGCATCATATATTTACTACTGTGTATACTCGTTTTTCTCTACGCGAGGTGGAAATGTAAATAATCTCCACGTGCCAGCAGTGCTGCCACCTGTCATTCGTTGAGTTTTGACAACCAGCTGGGCTCATTTTTGCAAAAATCTCAGAATACCTCGATTTTTCGCAAGACAATGCACGCCAAATAGGCCACCTTGCCCACTCGTGATACCCAATCAGACGTCTACAGGATCCTCGCAGCTGCTGAAAGTGACTGAGACCGAGAAAAGTGTGCAGAAAATGGCAGAAAACGAGGCTTTGGTTACCAACGATGCCAGTGATGTAAGTTTTTCCCGGATTTCCAGGAATTCCCAGGACTTTGTCACATCTCGAGGTGTCTTTCAGGCTGCGGCAACGCCCGCGGAGGGCGCCAGCGGACCAGCAGCGACGCAGGAGGGCGCGCAGCAACGCCAACCGTCGCGCATGGAGTCCTTCTTCGCCATTACAAAGTCCCTGATCATCCGGGCGCTCGTGATCTACTTCATATCCTCCTTCTTCCGGCGACCGGCAGCACCGGCGACAGACCCCAACGCGAAGCCAGGCGCCCCGGCGGGGCCCAAGACAACGGCGTGGAACTACTTCGAGAACGGAGCCATGTTCGATTTGTATGTTTATGTGTCGGAGGACTACAATTTCGCCGACTTCCACCGCTCGGAGTTCCTGGTGTGGCAGCAAATGGGCCTCGTGTACAATGACTGGACAAGTGGGCGCGATCGCGACGGCGTGTTCACGCACAGCACGCAGATTCCGGCCACGGAACGCGTGCAGAACAACGGCTCAATCTATATTCACGCGTACGTGGTGAAGTCCGGCCAGAGCCCCAATCCGCACGACACGGACAACTATGCCGGGCGCCACGTGAGCTACTCCAGGCGCCTCCTGAACAAGTTCAAACGGATCAAGCACTCCAAGACGCACAATCTCATCACCGGAGAGTCAACGAATCCTCACAGTGCAGTGAGTATTGAGCTTTGTCTCCGTTTCCGGCCATGAGCGCCTTCCGGAACAGTTCCTCGCATGCCTGAGTATCTCTTCCAAGGGCGCTGCTTTGTCTTTTTCTGCGCGAACATGCGCTATTCTTGAGTAGATGAGCTCTGAAGTCTTCATGATGATGATTAGAGAGCATAATCTGAAGTTAAATGTTAGCTTTTGAAGCTGTTTTCTTACACTCAGAGAAATAATTTAATCTTGAAATTGATTTCCAAAAAAGGGTCTTGAAATTAGCCTGAATCTGCCTATTTTCGAGTCCTTTTCGGCTATCGTGGTAGATTTTCAAGCTGTCCGATCGCCATAAACTTAAGTTTACGACTTTTCCTTGAACTGATACTGTTTTCTCGGCATAATTTCAAGTCAAAAAATCTTCGTTAATCAATTTTCAACCTGATTATTGTTATATTTATGCTGAAATCTAAATTCTAGCTCGATTTTTCTCTCAGTGTAAGCTAAGGCGGCTAAAGCCCGAATATGACCCCAATATAGTGTGAAATTGCGTGTTGGAGAAAAAAGTGTGTGAGATTCTCATTGAGCACGAGTGGAGAGGACCTTGAAAAGGGGGGATTTCAGCTAAAACTCTAATGCTCTCTCTCTCTCTCTCTCTCTCTGTCGTGTCTTTGCAGGAAATGGACGAGCAGACAGTGACTGAGATTGTGTCTCACTGGCATCCCAATCTCACGATAAACCTCGTGACGGACCAGACAAATTGGGTGCGAGGCTCCGTGCCGGCGCCCTTCGACGAGTACATCACATTCCTGCCCGGCGGTCACACGTACTTGCCGGTGCTGTTCTTCAACGACTACTGGAACATGATGCGCGACTACCAGCCGCTCAACAAGACGACCAAAGTGCTGGAATTGCATCTCACTTTCCAGCCACTGTCGCTGTTCAAGTGGCAATTGTATGCGGCGCAGGCGATGAAGAACAAGTGGACGAGTGGAATCTTTTCGGAGTTGACAGAGGAGCAGGATGAGGATCAGGATTCGCTGAAAGAGGCTCTGCTGGACACGAGTCCACTGATCTTGGGCTTGACGGCGGCTGTGTCGATTTTGCACAGTGTTTTTGAGATTCTAGCCTTTAAGAATGACATTCAGTTCTGGAACAACAGGAAATCACTGGAGGGATTGTCGGTGAGGAGTGTGTTCTTTGGCGTGTTCCAATCTGTGATTGTGTTGCTGTACGTGTTGGATAATGACACGAACTTCATGATACGGATTAGTTGCTTCATAGGATTGGGCATTGAAGTGTGGAAGATTCAGAAAGTGGTGAACATCCATGTGAACAGAGAAGCGCTGATCTTTGGCTTCCTGCCGCGCATCACCTTCTCAGATAAGGGCTCATATGTGGAGTCCAGCACGAAGCAGTACGACAAGCTCGCCTTTAAGTACCTGGGCTGGCTCTGCTTCCCACTCCTCATCGGCTACAGTGCGTACTCGCTGGTGTACAATGAGCACAAGGGCTGGTATTCGTTCGTGCTGAACATGCTGTACGGTTTCCTGCTCACGTTCGGCTTCATCATGATGACGCCGCAGCTGTTTATCAACTACAAGCTCAAGTCTGTGGCTCATCTGCCGTGGCGCATGATGACATACAAATTCCTCAACACCTTCATCGATGACATCTTCGCGTTTGTCATCAAGATGCCCACAATGTACAGACTGGGCTGCTTCCGTGATGACATCGTCTTCTTCGTGTTCCTCTATCAGCGCTGGATCTACAAGGTGGACGTGAAGCGTGTGAATGAGTTTGGCTTCTCCGGTGAGATGGAGCAGGAGGCGAAGATGCGAATGGTGCCGGCGGAGCAACAGCCGCCGAAGCCGGAAGAGGAGAAGAAGAAGGATTAGGAAAACTGATCGATTTTATCAACCAGCCCATAGTTTAGCGATAAATTCATCGTCTGAGAGAGAGAAAGAGAGAGAGAGAGAACGAGGATGTAAAAACCCTTGAATTTCGTGTATTACTGTATGTGTGTCACTCAGTCTCTCGATCACGAGAGGAAAAAATGAGAATAAAAAAACCTAGAGGAAATTGTTGCAAAGGAATGCTTAGTTTGTCTTCTTGAGAAGTTTTCCGATTGGTGTCTCCGCTAAATTGCACACAGAAAAATCACGATGCATATTTTATTTATCCAGAACCCCGATTGATTTGTATAAAAGTAAGAAATTCAGCAAATTGTAGTCTTCACTAGCTTTTCTTCGCTATTGCGATGGACTTAGAGCGTGAACAGCCACAGCATCCACAACCTTTCCGCGCTTGATCACGTGAGGGATCTTCTTGGGAACCATTCTGCAAAGAGAGAAATCATTCAACACTGCTTCTGCAGGATGAGGATCAGATCCTTACGTGATGCAGTCAATGACCGGGCAGACGGAGAGACAGAGATTGCATCCCGTGCAATCGTCCGTGACGTGAGGGAAGTGAGTCTCGGGATCGAAGGAGATGGCTTGATAGCCACTATCGGCGCATGCCATGTAGCATTTTCCGCAATTGATGCAGAGATCGTCATCAATTAGCGCCACTACCTGCTTCGTGTTGTCCAGCTTCTTATACGGACCGATCTTGTTGAGGGCTTCTCCGATGATGTCGTTGACTTTTGGCACTTTCCCGCCATTCGGCGCACTTCCGTTGTCAGTCGCCGAGCCATTGTCTGCACTCTCCCAGAATGGGCCACTCTTCTGTCGAATGCCGTGCAGGATTTCCTCCCTCTTCTGCGCATACGGACCAAAGTGGGGCAGCGATGCACCGTCATCACCCTTGAGAGACCAGGTGACCTTCCCCTTCTGGTGCTTCATCGTCGGCGGAGATTGTCCGTCCCAGGGACTTGATCCAGCCGGAAGATGAGCCCGGAGATAGAGAAGTGTCTTCAGACCCAGACAGTAGTCACTGACGAGAGTGAAGTCCTGATTCTGCACAGCAGAGCACACTTGCAGCACAGAAGCGCCGCACTGGAGGAACTGCAGAGCCACATCTGAAGAGTCAATGCCACCGATTCCCAGGATGGCGAAGCCAGGCAATTCATTCCCGATGGCCGACACAGCACGCAGAGCCATTGGACGAGTGGCATTACCAGACACGCCGCCGTATGTGGTGCGTTTGTCCAGGCCAACGGCTGGCCAAGGAGTTGAATCCGACCTCAGAGACATCAGCCCAGAAACGGTGTTGATTGCAGACACGCCATCGGCTTTTCCTGCAGAGGAAGCACAGAAGATGTGAAACAAGGGGGAGATAATGTGACAATATTTGATTCAAAAGATTCATAGCTTTGATTTAACCACATTTTTAAGATTATGTGACTGATTTAAGACTAAATAAGATTTAAAACTAGATATTAGTGCACCTAAACTAGAAGTATTTTCACTTTATTAGTCGAATTGCGTATTTATACTCAATAAAAATCGTGTTTTTGGAAGCTGAATATCAAGAAACTTTGCAAAAGTCGAACATAACGTCAATTTTTCACTAAACCGTAGCGATTTTGAGTTAGAAATATCCTATTCGATATCTCTGAAGAATATTTCATCTTAACTTAAGGATTATGATCAAGAAAAGTACGAAAAAGTTCAAATTTAGCGTAAGAAAATCATCAAATATATATAAAAATATAAATTTTAAAGTGTTCAGTTAGTTCTCGGTTGATTTTAGTGTTATTATGATTATAATTATGATTATTAAGTGCCAGGAAGTGGTGTACAAATTTTGGCCATATTATCTCCCCCTTGGATGAGAAATCAGACGAGATTTCTTGTGACCTAGACCTTATTATCTGAAAACGTCCCTCGTTTGTATCGTTTCGAGCACTTGGGAATTAAGTAATCAGTCTCTAATCAGTGAATATATTGCACAATTGTGTGATAAAAGTGAATTAAGAGTTGAAATATATTGTGATAATTCTAAACCTCTTCCAGCACTTCGTTGAGATAACTTTAATTCGAGATTTGCCCACTTATGCTTCTCCCTCATCCAAATCCACTCAGAAATTCCCTCAAAGCGCTGTGATACACTTCACTCTCGAGTATTTACCAACAATCAGTTTCGTACCTTCGTAAGCTGCTTTGGCAATTGACACGATGTCCGTGATGTTGGGTGTTAACTTGATGAAGACAGGAATTTTCACGGCGGCTTTCACCCACAGTGAAATGTTGTACACGAGCTCGGGCTTTTGGCCGCACGCCAAGCCCATTCCCGACTCTCCCATCCCATGTGGACAGCTCAGATTGAGCTCCAGCGCATGGGCGCCTGCCTTCTCCGCCTTCTGGGCCAATTCCGTCCAGTCCTGCTCATTGTACGAGCACATGATGCTGGCGATGAGGATCTTCGTGGGGAAATCCCGCGTCAGCTCCTCGATGCTCTTCAGCCAATACTCGCAGTATTTCTCCGAAATGAGCTCAATGTTGAGAAAAGCGCCCTGTCCAGGACCATAGTGATGTCCCGAAGTGACTCCCTTCACGATTCGTGGCGAGACATTCGTCACGATGTCCTGGAAAAACAATCAAACACAGAATTGAATGGGAAACCTCTTAAATTAAGAGTGTTGTGATGGAAGACCTTGTTTAGGGAGAATGTTTTCGTGACGGCAAAGCTCCATCCTTGCTCGAAAGCTCTCCTGATCATAGCTGAACTGGTTGTTGGTGGAGCTGAAGCCAAACCGAAGGGATTCTCGAACTTCAATCCGCACATCTCAACAGAGATGTCCACCAGATCGATGTCGCTGTAGAAGAGCGGCAACTGCGGCGGAGTGTCGAAGGGAAGTCCTTCCAGGAAGCAATGCATGTACCAGGCAGCTGTCTTCCCATCATTCACACTCTCCACTGTTGTCTCAGCACTGCCAGCCAAGTCTCCGCCACAGAACACCTGTGGAAGATTCGTCTGCTGCGTCTTGGAGTCAACAATTGGGAGTCCATAGGAGTTCAGAGGAACTGGCGAGATCGCCTTGATGACTGTGAAAAGTATCGACAGATTTACACAAATCCCAGACTTCCCATCAATTATCAACTCACCATCGGCATCATGAAGACCAGAACCGAAGGCGGAAATCACGTAATTCGCCTTAATTGTGCTAGATTGATCGCGATCCTCCACCCACTTTCCACTCGCATCCTCCTCATTCCTGCAGAACTCCATGCCCGTGATCTTCCCACTCTTCACAATCACCCTCACTGGCGACATGAAGGGAATGAATTCACACTTTTCCTCCCGCGCCAGCTCCACTTCCTCAGGCACAGCGCGAATATTGGAGCTGCCACGGCGAAAGACGACAAACACTTTGTTGGCTCCGCATCTCAGGGCAGAAGTGGCGCAATCGAATGCCGTGTCGCCCGCGCCCAGGACAATGACGTTGCCCACAAGTTGCGGAAGACTCTTGCAGGCGCACAAGCCGCGCTTGCTTCCGGCCGCCACTTTGGGCAGGAAGTCCTTGGACGTGTAGAAGCCGTTCGCCTCTGTCAAGCCCTGGAAGATGGGATTCAGCGTTGGCTGTGGCAATCCAATGCCCAAAAACACTGCCTCCGTGCCGGAATTGAGCAAATTCTGCACAGTGATGTCCTGGACAGAGAGACTGCGTCCAGTCTCGAACTTCACGCCCAAATCTCGCACGAGATTGATCTCGAAATTGACCACATCGATCGGTAGGCGATACTGAGGGATCTCGGAGGAGCTCAAGCCACCCAGGTAGTCGCGTTTCTCATACACCGTGATGTTCTTGTACCCCAGGCGACCCAGGAATGTGGCACAGGAGAGAGATGCCGGTCCGCCTCCTATCAGAGCGACTTTGGCCTCGGATTTTCTGGGAGTTCCGACATTGGGAGGCACGATCTGACGGATGCCCATCTGCTTGAAGGTCTCCGTGGCGAATTGCTGGAGCCCACCGATATTGATGGGGCCTTCTTCGGAAGCCTACAAGCACGAGGCGATACTTAATCCATCTGATAAGCAGCCAGAACAATTTTGTTACCTGAAGATTGCATCCTCCGACGCACAGATCGCTGGTGGGACAAACCATTCCGCACGTGAGTCCCAGTGGATTGTCCGAGAAGATGGCTTTGGCGGCTCCGTAGTAATTCTTGTTGGCGATGCTCGTGATGAAACTCTTGATGTCCAGCTGCGTTGGACAGGACTTCTGACACGGAGCATCGGCGCACTTGAGGCATCGCGCTGCCTCTCGCAGAGCCCCGCGCTCCGACAGGGTCGTGTGCTTGATGTCCGAGAAGTCATTCTCCAGCGACGGACAAGCCTGGCATGATTTGTCCGAATTCCTCTTCCAGTGCTTCTTGCTGACCTTCGTCACGCTCGACGGCACGACTGAACAGTTGGTCTGCACGCGAGGATTCAAAGCCAAGAGATTCTGTGCCGGGGATTGAGAGATTTATTGCGCTATCGCGAGAGGTGATAAGAAGCGCTATAAGTGTACCTCAATGTCTGGAAGCTCCCGGCTTATCACAACGCTCGCGCCACTCATTTTCACCTAATTTTCTTCAGCACTTGACACTTGGTAACTCTCTGGAAGTTATCAATCAGCACTTCCCTGATATCCACTATTGAATCGATGATAAAGGCGGAAAGTTGCCCTTTCGAATTCCTTATCAACGATAAAGGAGATTAAAGTTCAATGGCGAACACAGAAATTATTCCATAAATTTTTATACTTTTTTTAGGAGAAAATCGTGGCACTTTTTTCTATGTTTAAATGTAATGATGAGTTTATCAATGAGTTCAAATTAATTAATTTAATAAGAAAGTTTCTCATTAAGTTATTCCGAGAACAAAACCACTATCGCTTCCCAGAACTTTATCAATAACTGAGTCTGTTTTGTTCGCGATAGCAAGTTAACTGGAAGTGTTATGTTCAATTGTATTGACCTACAGTGGAGATAATGAGATGTTTGGCTTCAACAAGTACGCAATTATAATGAAAAGACGCTTGATTCCCCAAAAATATCTTATCAAAACGAAAAAGAGTTGTAAATTTACGTCTACTAAATGTGTCTCAGTGTGTGAAAAAAGCCACGCGTTTTTCTCCCATTCAATTCATTTAAAAACCACGTCGAGTGACAAGGTCGCCTTTATTGTGAATTTATTAGACACTTGTCACTCAGAGTGTGTGGTGAAACTCGTACCTTCAACTCAACTGGGTTAGAGTTTAACAATTAATTAGTTTGATAAGTGATGATGACTCAACCACACCGACTGCAAAGATTATCAATCAATCTCTCACTAAGTGAAGAACAACACTCGCGATTGCGCTGAATTTCCTACTGTTCGACAGAACGATCAGAACGAAACTGAAATGGAATTTCGTTTTCACACTCAAGTAGAGTGTATTAAACTGGTTTCGCGGAGTATTAACATCTTTATCAGCTGGCACACGTCACTGTGTGTGTGTGTGTGTCGGAATGTAGTTATGAAGAAGGCTTTTTCCTTATCACAACGAACGAAAGCTCAATGAAAGATTTAAGACTGTGTCTCTCATTTGCGAAATAACAGTGTTTTGTATTCACTTTATTATTCAATTATAACGTGATATTTCAATAACATAACTTTATGTCTTTATTCTTATGTTTTATATGGTTATTTCCTATGTATTTTTCTTCAATATAAGCGTTTGCTGTATATTTCGTACAAAAGCTTTGTTTGACTTCTCTTTTAGTTTTACACACTTTTTCGGGTATTTCTTCTTCCTCTCAATTTCAATTTAACTTCTTTTAGGGGACATAAAAAATAAAAGTTCAACAAAACACTTCATGTGTCAATTTAGTGATTCGTTTCTTTACTCTTATCAACATTAGGGCATCAAATTGTAACACTTTTTTTCTCACATTATTTATCAATAAAAATTTCTTGAAAGCATCAACAGGCACAATGTTTGAGTGTTGAATTTCATCTCACAATTTCCTCTTCATCACTATTATTTTTTTTTTCGTTTCAAACAATAATCTGTGTGATTTCAATCGTTTCTATTCGAAGATCTGAAATAACAACGGTTACAAATACAAATTAATTTATTGTCCATTCCCAAAAAGTATAGATTGAACACTAAATTAGTATCAATTGATAAGTTATACCTTCAGGTTAGTTACAGAAAATGCTATATAAGTCATTCATTAGTGATTGCGGTTACAATGAATGTCTGGAGAGAGATGTTAGTTAATTAAGAGCGCTCATTGATTCTCCTAAAGTCACTGGAAAAGAGACTTTTAAGTAAAGAAAAATGTTTCCAACTTGATAAATGCAATGTTATGATTCTTCTCAACCATCCCACATTTTATTTTCCTTTCCTCCTAATTTCATTTCTAATTAAGGCAGAGGCACTCTTAAATAATATCACACGACCTGAATAATAAATTCAATCTCTAAACATTTTTTTCTTTATCATCTTTTGATACGCGTCGATGGGATGATGATTTTGAATCATGTTGAATGAGTGGATAGAGAATATCTAATCTTTCATCTCAATATTGTTCTTCGATATTGTAAATTCGCGAACGAAAGAAGTTGTTAGGCCGATTCACAATCTTTAAAAAATTCTTAAAATATTTGCCAATCAGTGTTTGCAATAATCATTAACAAAGGAATTCTGCAGTTCAGATATGTAATCTCTAATATACTTTCTGTAGCCGATAATCATCTTCTAGCCTAAGCAAAAGCCAAGTTGCTGTTTTGTATATAATGTATTTGATAGGTTTGTGTGTCTCTTATCGCTCTTCACCTTTTTTTTATTTTGATAATTGACAGAGTTCCAGCATTATATGCAAATCAAACAGTCAACAAATATTTTGCAATATCATTTGCCAAGATTTTCATGTAAACAAATAAGGCAGAAAATTTTAATTCTCAAGTTTCAGCTCTGAAATTTTCAGATCATTTAAAAATCACAGTATTCCTAAGAGTATTTTTCATAATCAATATAATTGATATCCTTCGCAAAGTGTTCACAAAATCAATTTATAATATAAAGCATTTATGTGTATATGGAGAGTTGGTATTAAACAGAGTAGAGTTTTGTTCGAATAATGTTTACATTATTAATAAATTCTAATACATAACAAGGGGAAGATAATATAGCTATACTGTGTACACCACTTCTTGTCACTTCCACAATTTCTTTCAAGAATTACAAACACTTCCAGAACTTTGGCAGTGCTTAAAATATGAGTTTTTCATATTTTCTTCACCTTTCTCGGAACCTTATAAATTTTTCCAACCATCTAAAGTATCATAACTCTTAATTTAGGACTCTTTGTATTCTAGATCAGTATTTTAGAGGTTATGATCAATCTTAGCATAATGAACACAGTTTAAAATTATTAGTGATCTTCAACAGATTTAATTATTATTGCGCCAGTAAAAGCAAATAATACCAGCTTAGGCGCAAAAATGACTTATTTTGAAGGTTATTTAGTGAAAAGTTTATCTTAAATTAATTACATAACCTAGACAGACGCGAAAAACGATTCTTTTTCTCAAATTATTGCGCTAATTCCTTTGGAAAGTGACTTTTGGACACACCTGAAAATATTTGAAATATTCCTACTAAGTTGTACACGACTTCTGGCCATAATATCTCCCCCTTGGTACATAATTAAAAGCTTTGAAAGACTAAGAACGGAATATATTTAGTATATCATTTATACCAACTCTGTGTAATGTTTAATTCTCTCCATTTTATCAAATCCTCTAATACTAATCTGTCTTCATCTCTTTTCACGGATAGTTTGCTTACTTTTATTTGCATAATATTTGATATTTTCCGCACATATTCTTAATGCAATTGCTAAATTGTTTTTAATGGAAAACGCATCATAAATTAAATGTCTTCACAAATCACGCATAAATTTCCACAGTCGAACGGAAATTTTGCTTTACACCCATTTCCGATTACAAAATGAACAAAATCATCGCAATCAATCGTTCCACCGCAGCGGTGTGTGTTTGTGTGTGTCTTTCTCTTATGATAACAATAGCGTCAATCAATAGGTGTTGTCGAACAGGTTACAATCTTAAGTATAATATCTATGTACATTATGTATAGTGAATGCAACAATCCATCCGTTATGCTGATAACTGAGATAAAAGCAATGCTCAAAGTCGCTTAATCGTGCCTTCCGTGAAGAAGATTGATAATTTTCGTGAGAAGGGAACTGGCTCTTCGTGATAATAGCTGTCTGAGGAGTCACTGTCATCATCGCTCTTGCGCCGATGCTGGAATGGCTTGGCAAAGGGTATCATAAGCGGTCCTTGATCGTCAGAATCACAGAATCCCGGGTTCAGTATTATATTTGGTACCAATTCCAATGCATCGGGATCACCATCAAATGCTGCGTTGGATTGGATGGATGTTTTTATATCACAGAGCGCACATTTTAGGTAATTATTCATATATATAAACATTTCAATCATAATGGAGATTAATTATATGCTTATTTGGCTTGTTGAAAAACAACTAATAAATTCGCAATCTACAGCGTGTCTCAAGTGCATATTTTATCATATTTGAATTGGTCAAAGAGGAGGTCCACACTATCTTTGGTCAAGGACAAAGTTTAATAATACGGACAAGTGTTTTTTTTTTGGTAATCTAAAGTCACCATCTAAGTGACTCTTCAATATTACGTTCTCTAACCACTCAAAATGATGCAAAATAAGAGAAAGTAATCGATAAGAAGCAATAGAACAAGCATTTTCTGCATACCGGGCGAACTGTGACACTCTTTAAACAACACCGCACTCGTGATTATGGTGAGAATTATGAGGATTCCCATCGTGATGGCCACAGCCACGATCCAGGCTCTCGTGTCGAAGTTCCTCACATCCACGAGAATGAGGCGAATTAAATCTTCACGGAGAGAAGACGAGAGAGAGAGAGAGAGAGGATGAGGCAATTGGCGAGGAAACTTCCTCAGCTCAACTCACCTTTCTCCTGCCACTGAGGAATCGTGGTCGCCGTCACTGTCGCCTTCTCGCCCGGACCCAAGTGATTATTGGCCCATATTCGGAACTCGTAGCTCGTGTTCGGGATCAGGTGGTAGACTTCCAATTGTCGCTGGTGAGAAGATGGCAATCATGAATAAATTAATATATTTATCATATATTCACGCCACCCCCGAGCCAAGGAGGGATAAGCTGTTGTTTCTTTTATGCCTAAACTTTTTGTTGCCTCTCTGCTCGCATATGCATAATGCTGGCAGCGATGCCTTCGCCCGCTTAATACTTTCACAGCATTCTCATGAAACTTTTAAAACTGATTCACGCGGATAGCAACTCCCGTGTTACTGCTGTGAATTATCATATAAAACGTCTCATGGATATTTTAAAGAGATTGCAGAGAATTACACCTAATGCGGCACATATAGCTTTTAAATCCACAATTGCGCTTAACACACTACAAAAAAAATAGAGGAGTGAATCAAAAACTATGGAAAGTCAAAATAGCTATATTTCAGGAGGGAAAATCATTTTGAAATGCATCAAATTCACCTCGAACACCGTCTAAACTATTCACTTCAGTGCTAATATTGCTCTATAATAATTATTTTGTGAATTTTTCAGTTCAGAAAATTCTGAATAAAATATTGCGAGTTAGTAGAAAATTGCAAATATTAGTTTAATCAACTTTTCATACTTTACATAAACTTTTCTTCAAAGTTTTCAAGTGAAATTATTTTAAAAATATGACTGATATTATATTTATTTAGAATCTAACAACATTTTACGAAAATTCAGAACAAAATTACGCTGTTTAAGACGAACTATGATAAATCGACACTTCATAGTTTGAGATTCATCCATCGAAATACAATTTTGATATATGAAATTTCAGAAAGAATTCAACCCTTTCGGCAATTCCGCCATTGCGAGTTATTTAAATGTGCAAAATATCCATTATTCAATTACAAATGCACACATTTCGCCGATTTCTACTCGGCAAAAAAACAATACTGTGAGAATTTCCAATCACTGGCCGTAAAAGTGCCTAAAGCAAGAAATTGAATATTTCTGGCAACGACTATTGATTTGACATAGTAATGTGAAACCGACCTTTGTTGATGGAAGTGAAATGAACATCAAAATGACTGTTTTGTTTGCGTAATGTAAGCAAAATTGGTTCATTCTCTAGAGTTTCCTCTCAGTTCATATCATTTTACAGAGCTGAGAGCTTATTATCATTTCCCAGAACATGTTTGTGACATTTGATTCTAAATGTAGTTTCGCTTATTTGCTCTCTGAAATTAATTTCGGCGCTAGCAAATTAGCTGTTGCACAATAAATATTATAATAGTGCAATTCTACATGCATTTGATAGTGATAAAACAAAGGGAAGATAATACAGCTAAAACTGTATTGAAACTGACTTTTGAACGCGCCTGAAACACTTCCAAATGCTTCTACTGAGTTGTACACCACTTTTGATAAGGATGAGTGAAGAAAGTGAGAGCTTTACTTACGATATTAGGGCTAATATTGAGCGGATCCAGTCGTTCCCATTCAGTCTCTATGATATTTCCATCCGCATCGAGTTCAACATCTTCTGGCACTTGGCGAAAGTCAGCCGTGAAGCTGCGAACGCTGTTCGCGATGAGCCTCTTCGGTGGGTACTCCCATATGAGGACAGCAATAACTGTTGAAGCTCGGACGGCAAAGAAGGAAACAGCCTCGGGAGGACTTCTCACGCGCACATTCGACGTCTTGAGGTCGAGAGATGATGACATATTTCCCGTGAGACTTGCATTTCCCGGCAGAGTGGAGCAAGTGTAATTGCCAGCATCGTTCATTGTGATGTTGATAATAAGCAAGGATCCGTTTTCCTTTGTGGGGTGGCAGAAAACACAGTCAGAGAGAGCGGAAGGAATCGTGCAATTGAGGGGATTAAACTCACCTGTGGAACCCAATTGGATCTATTCCTGTGTCCCTCCTTCATCCAAATGACAGTCACAGGATCATTCACAGCGCAGGGCAAAATTAAATTCTTCCCCGGGTCAACAATATACTCCCGATAGTCTTCACTGCGAATTGCCGATGACGAGGATAATCGAATTAGCGCTGTTGACGCCACCGTAAAGAGAACAACAAGAGACATGCGAGTTAACATCGGCGAGAACTCAGTTGCCAAACTGAATTAACAACAACTCTCCCCGAAGTTTGGCGCGCCAGGAAGAGGAGAATGATAGAATGTGTCACTTAATGAAAAAATATACTAGTCATTTATGATCTCTACGATTCGCCCACTTTAGTATACACGAAGCTATGACATTGAGCATTTCTTTAGGTCAATTTGCAATTTGACTAAACGCACTGCACAACAACTGAAAAATTATACTGCTCTCAGCATTCGTGTGCATCGTCAACACGCGATAACAGCGCACACAGAGTGATTCTCATTGCAGAAAACCATGTACAAGTATTTTGAGCCACAAGGATTGGAAATTTATTGATTTCTTAACCCCTCTGCTGGTCATTCAAACAGTTCCTGATGAACTTAACAGGTGTTTTCAATTCAATCCCCGCACTAAAACTTCTATCCATAAATTCAATTAGTAAATCAATCATGTGTCTCTGCAAATTAACTCAAATCAATATAATCAAGTTTTCTTTTGGAGTGTTGCAATTGAAGTGGAAAATTGAATGACCAATTTTTGTTGTAAAGATAACTAAACACACTTCACATGCTGTACAAAATATTAAACAGACACACAAACAACACACAATTAAGTAATTCGTTACTCTTAAATCTTCAATGAAATCTCGAAAACAGACTAAAAAAAATTGTATTCCAAAAGAATCTAAACATATAAATCTCTAACGAAACATGAAAAAATGTACATATTGGAAGATCTCTAAATCTTAAAAAAGTCAATTAGAAAATTTCAATTGCAATTTGGGAAGGAATTTCACAGTTTTGCTGCACCTTTTAGTGTGATTTGCGTGATAATGGGCGGGGCATTTGAGTGGGCGGAGCCTATGAATGTGATTTTGGCACTTTAATCATTGCAAACACGGAGCAAATGTTCAGCTCAATTTTTCCACACCATCAGTTCTGATTATGGGTTAAACAACACCACTGAACTGATCCTCTGACTTCACCAGACAGTCTGCGTAATTTAGCTGACGATGAAAATTTTAATCTCCTTTGTACCACAGCGAAGTATGCAAAATTCTTCTCTTTCAACTTCATAAAATATACATCGTAAAAGCTCATCTTTTGAAGTAAAGTTGAAGTGTGTAATTTTGAGATAACAATATTGTTCTCTCGGAGCTTATAATTTTTAATATATATGGGGAAATGATGCAATTAACCCAAAAAGAAGTGCCATTGACCGTTCTACAGAAGAGTCTTGTTTACCAAGAATTGAGTGCTTTCTCGGAAAGACATCTTTTCGCTGTGATGAGCAAGTGCTTTTAGCCAGAGTCAATAAAATTACAGCCAAGATGGTATTGCGAGTCTCGATGAGCAATTCGGAGCGATGACAGAAGAGCGTATGAAAGAAACTATCCGCAATTTAGCATTCGTAATGAACCCTCCAACTCTCCGACTATCAATAAAAAATCACAGTCTATAAATTTCCTCATGACACTACGATGTTTATCGCCCCACAGCGACGCTCTGGGGTGAGTGGAGGAGGCCATATGTCAAAGGGTTAATGGAATCTAGAGGGTGGGTGTGTGATTTCCCGAGGGCGGGGGCTGCACTTTGTGTGTAAAGCGTATTGCAAAAATCAATTCTGTCCCCTTCCGCGCCGCATTGGGCTATAAATAGCCTCGCATTCAGCAAGATGTTTCGACGCTTTTCCTTTTGACCTCCGCATATTGAATTCAATAATTCGCTCAGCGCTTTCTTACCCTTGAGTATAACCCTCTGTGTGAGCCTCCAAATCAGCGACTTTTTTTGGAGTGCACAAGAGTAAAAAAAAAATGCCTTTCGCTCTCTCCCTCCCCCCGCAAAATGCACTCATGCCCCACAGATTTTCACCATCGCCCCCGGGGGGCACAAAGGGTGGCTCCCGGAATGGAGGAGGTTGCTGAATTACCTTGTAGAAAAAACAGCACACTTATGGGGAAACTTAAAAGAATTGCACTGAAAGACATTCTTTTGCCATGCTAAATGGATGTTCTAATAACACATAATCGTTAAAACATTTAAAGTCATAAAAATTACACTCTACTGAGTACTTGTGTGGAAATATCATCTAAATTTTGTACGAGAGAAAGAGGGAAAAATGAGGTACAAAATGAGAAGAAGTTTTTCTCGGAATCTCGGGGACACCCTTACGTCACACTAACACTTTTCACTTGCTCATAGAGAAGGCTACACAGTGATTTTCCTTCCACCGCCCACAACGAACTGAGTGCCACTGGAGTTTCACATGAGAGAAAAGTGCGATTTGCACGCGGGAGGAGAGCTTTCTTCGCTCAAAAACCCACCCCAAAGCGAGCCAAATATTTCCCTCCCAAATGGCCACCAGCGCCATGTGTTCATCACGGGAAACATTCATGCACCGAAGTTGGCAGCCATGTAGAGCTTTCGTCCAAAATACGGGAATTCTCTGCATTTCTCCCATAATTTATGCCAGAAGTGCATTTTTCCAGCATTTTTCCATTCTTGAGCTCTTCTGGAATCCCAAACAAAGCGCAAAAACATTTACAATCGGTGTATTTTATTCTACACCTCGGTCAATATTGGCAGCCATGTGAAAGATGGGTTATGTTTACATCAAATTGTCAAAACAAGTGTTGGCAAAACACGGGCTGCCCGTAGTTTTTCTTCAATAAAACTCGCAATTAAGTCTGATTCATAGTAATAAAGCACCCTCAGACATTATCAACTAGATCAGTGACTGATTGACAGTGCAAAATGGGCAGCTCGAAGAAGCACAAGCGAGACAGAGAAGTGGTGAGGCGGCACAAGAAGCGCTCTCGATCCCGATCAAAGACCCGCAGCAGATCTCAGTCTCCGGAGAGACACGACCGGAAGCACTACAAGAAGCACCACCGCGAGCGTCGTCATCGAAAGCGCAGCACTGAGAAGCAGCGCGACGACTACAATAGCGACAGTAAGTGGAAAACCATTGTAAACGTTTGCCATTGAGGCGTATTGAAATTTTCCTGGCTTTCACAGGTTCTGATGTCATTGAGGTTCCGGTGGCTCCTCCGGCTCCCGTGATCTCGTCCAAGAGACCCCGTTCGCCGTCCCCGATTCCCGATGGCGGCGCTGGCGATTGCCTGTCCATTGAGGAGACGAACAAGCTGAGAGCCAAGTTGGGTCTGAAGCCTCTCGAGGTGGACTCAGCGCCGCCGGCAAAGGAGAGGACGTATGTGGATGAGAAGGGTGATGAGCCCGAGCTGAAGATCCATAAGGACGACTATGGGGAGTTTGTTCACAAGCCGGCATCGAACTTTGCCGAGACGAAGCAGGTGGAGAAGATCAGGGAGAAAATCAAGGAGCGCAAGGAGAAGCGACAGCTGGAGAACACGATGCTGAAGGTGAAGAGCTTGGGGGCGTCAGATGAGGAGGACGATCTGGTGTCGTGGGTGGACAAGAGTCGGGAGAAGGAGCGACAGAAGAAGGAGGCAGAAAGTCGGGCCAAGTGGCTCGAGGAGATGGAAGAACAGATTGGTGGAGGTTCTCATGCTGACCACGAAGACAGGGAAGCGCGCCCGACGTACTATGGATCGCGTGATCTCAAGGGATTGAGAGTGGAGCACGATACGTCAGATTTTGGTGAGGGAAAGACAATTATCTTGACACTGAAGGATCAGGATGTACTCAATGAGGACGCAGACACGCTCGTGAATGTGAATTTGATGGACACGGAGCGATATCGGAAGAATGTGGAGAACAAGAAGCTGAATCCACAGAATTACGGATACGATTGCTATGCCGATGAAGTGGATGAGTTCGGACAGCCACTTTCCAGGGCCATTCTGAAGAAGTATGACGATGAAATCGATGGAGGGCAGAAGAAGAGTTTCACGCTGGGCAGAAATTTGCAAGAAGAGCAGGAGCACAAGCGTAAAATCCTGGAGATCCGATGCAAGCTGGAGCATAAGCGTCTGGAGACGCTGAATGAGCAGCTGATAAAGCCGGCTACAGATTATTACACAGAAGCTGAAATGGCGAAATTCAAGAAGCCCAAGAGGAAGGTGAAGAAGTCCAAGAGGACCCTGAAAGCAGATGATCTCTTGCCATTGCCCGGCGAAATGGAGGGTACTTCGCGGGATATGGGCAGTAGACGTGGACAAAGCTCCTCCACATCCATGGACATTGACGATGTGCCCGAGGAGAAGGTGAAAATAGAGCCGGAGGATGATGATCTGGAGAAGATGCTGTCCAAGGCGAGGCGGCTGAAGCAGAAGGAGTCCTTAATTGCTAAGCCCATCGACACGGCTCAGCTGAAGAGTGAGGTGAAGAGTGAAGCTGTGTCGGATGAAGAGGAGGATCGCTTTGACTTGCAGTCCAACCAGATCACCTTGAATGCCACGGCGGAGTTTTGTCGGACGCTGGGAGACATTCCCACGTACGGCATGGCGGGAAATCGTGAGGGCAATACGAATGACTTGATAGACTTCGAGAGTGAGATGAATGTGGAGGAGAAGGAGGAGGAGCCCGAAGATGTGAGGGGGACGTGGAACTCTGTGAATGCGAGTGAGTTGGAGATGGAGGAGAACTCCCAGCCGGGGCCGGATGATGTGGGGGAGATTGCGATCCTGGATGAGGAGCCTGATGTGAGTGCTGGTGTGGCTGGAGCCCTGCGATTGGCTGTGTCGAAGGGCTATTTGGAGAGAGACGACAAGAATCGACCGAGCAATACGCGAATGGCTCATCTTCAGGCCAAGAATTACTCCATCGAGGACAAAACCTACGCGTGAGTGTATTTTTCCCACACAGTGGCTTGTTTTGGAAATTCTAATGTGGGCTACTTTGTTTTTCCAGTGAGGATGACAAGTTCGGTCGGCGTGACAGGTATCACAGTGGGCCGAGTTCTGACTTCAAGGAGAAGGATGGCTTCAAGCCCAATGTGAAGCTGGAGTACATCGATGACGGCGGAAGAGTGCTGAATGCCAAGGAGGCTTTTCGCTATCTGTCGCACAAGTTCCACGGCAAGGGGCCGGGAAAGAACAAGATCGAGAAGCGGCTGAAGAAGAGCGAACAGGAGGGGCTGATGATGAAGATGAGCTCCACGGACACCCCGCTGGGCACGTTGAATATGCTGCAGGCGAAGCAGAGGGAGACCAACAGTCCCTACATTGTGCTGAGTGGGACGAAGCAGAATCTCTCTGGCAGTAACATTGTGAAGCACAAGTCTAAGTGAGGACTTGAAGGTGAATACATAATCTTTATTACTTGCTGATTAGAAGTGTAGCGAGAGTAGTTATAAACAGTACAATTGATGCGATCTTAAGACTTTGTGCTCCGCCGATTAAGTTTGACGGCAGTTGGCAATCGCCGAAGGGATAGGATTTGGGCTTGATCACGAGGACATCAGTTGGCGTGAGAGGTGCTGAAAAGGATAGAAGAATATTTCAGATCTGACGTTGCGTCATTTTCACGGTGAACTTACGGATTTCTCCCTCAATTTCCTCATCATTGATTGCGAATGAGAGAGGAATCTGCGGATTGCTGTAAGTCGTCCTGAAGATTGTCTGCGATGACTGCATTGTGATACTGAACGTTGAGCCCAGATATGTGATTCGGTTTATTGTGAGTTCAGTGACACCCGGAGCAATCCTGGGTCGTTCAACGGTCATGCTGTCCTGATGGAGACGAACTCCGGCGTAGCCATTGATGATGCCTTGCAAGAATCCTCCGGCGCCCGTGATGAAGTTCCCAGCGCCCACGAAACCTTCTGCCGCCTCACTCCACACCATGAATGGGCGTCGGATGTAATTGTCATAGCTCCGCTTGAAGTTCTGCGCCGCCTCGTCATCCTCCCCAATGTCCAGGTGTCCAATGACGTGCATAGACCAAGTCATCGCGGGCCCATCTTCCCTCGTCATGTCCGAATAGTAGTGCAGATTGTTCTTCTTCGTGCTCTCGTCCATTGGATACTGAAGCGGGAATCCCAGGAGGACAACGTCCGCCTGCTTGATTGCCGTTCCGCGCTCATATCCCTCAAACTGCGGATGATAGTCGTGTTCGGAGTCGTGAAGGAGTGTCAATTGGCGAGCAATTTCTGACCACTTTTCTACTAATTCGTACTCCTGAAGATTCAACACTTCCTTGCACAAGCACGATGCGAATTCGGAGAAGTACAAATTGTATCCCGCCACAACGTTTGTGTAGACATTGTTGGTCACGTTGTGATGATCCTCATCCGGACCCATGACGGCTGAAAGGATTCAATCATTAGCCATAAAGTCAGTTTCTTACCGTGACGAAAATATTGCAAAAATGCTTGAAATTCTGTAGATTCAGGCTAATTGAGTGAGACTCACCGCGAATGTCGTACGTTTCGGTGTCTTCATTCCACACAACTCGACTCTCCCAGAACTCAGCACTTTCCACGGCCAATTGGCATCCTTCTTGCCTCAAGTAGTCCATATCGTGGGTGGCGAAGAAGTGCGATCTGGCGGCAAAGACGATGTCCGCCGTGATGTGATGCTGATACAGGACGACTTCTGGGCAGCACGGCGGAGTGACTTCTCTGCCCGTGTACGCGGACTCCCAGACGTACCTGCGACCCTTCCATCCAGTCTGACGGGCGTGATTCTGGGCAGCCTCGCGTGTGATGTGGCGATAGTGGAGCAAATCTCGACTCCATTTCGGCTCCAGCATCAACACTGGCGGCTGCATCCAAATCTCTGTGTCCCAGAAGCTGTGACCCTGATATTCCATCAACATGACTCCGCCGCGCCCGAGTCCCGCCGGCGCCAGACCGTAGAAGTCATAGTTGCCTTGGTTGCTCTCTAGCGAGGGCAGAGAGCTGGACAGGAAGAAGAGACTCGTGTGAATGGAGCTTGCCAGATTGTCATCGCCAACGACTGTGATTCCATAGGTTTGCCAGAAAGTTTCCCACATCTGCTCGTGTGTGTTGAAGATCTGATTCACATTCAGCTGTGGAATGGCATCGACGAGATCCTTCCTGGCCACTCCCTCGTTAAAGTCCACGGCCGTTAAGTATCCCACTGTGATTTCATTCTGTCCGTCCGGCAGGATCAACTGATCAGGAGCAGTCTGGTAAAAGACATTGACTGTTCGGAGCTCCTTTTGGTAATTGGGATCTTCAACGGCGACTGTTTGGCCAGCGATTCGCTGGAAGGAAAGTCCGCCGATGTCTTCAGGCTGTGCTGACGAGAAGGTGAAATCCACAGAAGGATCACCGGGAAGTTGCACCAAATCAAGGGTAATAGCTCCTGCAGAGAAGAATTTGAACTTGTGTTATCTGGGAGAAAATGAACCTTGAATTGGGGATTGGCTTTACGCAATTACTCATTGAAGCATTGAATTGATTTACAATCACTCGTATATCACTCACATCTCTGAGGCAACAGAGATAAATCTACCTGTTCCTCCGGTGCGGCTCAGTCGAAATTCATTCACTATCAGGCGGTTGAAGTATCTGTGAGTGTACACTCGATGCTCAGCGGAGAATGTGCTGCCCGTGAGAACTGTCCGGAAGAATCCGTGGCGGATGTTCAGCTCGTAGAGACAATCATCGGCATCGGTTTTGGTGTCTTTCGCGCAGGATCTCATTTGAATGTTGGCGTGGTTGGGAATCCTCGCCCGATGGCTGTAGCCCATGAAGCCATTGTAGAGGCCGTTGACGAGGATGGAGTGGTCAAAAACAACCAGTCCTATGTGACCATTCGCCAGGGTTGGCATGACATCCTGCGATGGAAGTCTGGGAAGAAAACTCCGTCACTTTTCACGCCTTGTGCGAGATTGATTTGAAATGACTCACGCATTTGACTGGAAGGCATAATTATCCGCTAAAACACTTGCAAACAGACCCAGAAAGACGAAACACCACAACATTGTTCACACTTTGTTCACACTCAGAGTCCAACTGAATGGATTCCTGGCGTTTCACGTAGTTTATAGCCTAATGTTATCAGTTATTGTACAAATCGTGAGATTATTCGATCTTCCCTACAAACATTAAGCCTCTTTATGCCGTGTCGGATTTAATACAAATGCAGCATTTATGTTTAGTCTAGTCTGACATGGACTTTAAAGTCGGCTCAAACTACGCGGTTGCACATGCGTTTGAGCTGCCAAATTCTCACACACATCCTCACTGAACGTAATTCGTGACTGCGCGTCACGTTGCGACATGATTCGTTTTCAGTTTAATCCGGCCGAAGCGCTTGTGTTACAGTATCAACGCCATGGAATAAAACCGAATATTGTTAAATGCTACATTAATGATAAATCCAGCATTTAACTTGGCTTGGTTCCGAATATAGACTTTGAATGTCACAGCATCTTGCGTCCTTTCGTGCAGAAATTAGGAAGATCTTCCCATTGCAACTCCTTGTCCAGCAGCGATTTCCCTGACTCCGCATTCTAGTGCAGTCTTGACATCCGTAACGTTGGTTTGACTAATTTATGTTGCTCAGGCTTATGACGGTTATCATTTGTATTACCGATTAATAACTGAGTACTTGTGATAAAGGAAATATCAATATGAAAAAATAGAGATAAAAATATGCTCTTCTGAGCTTGGGAAATTTCGATTCTAGAGTCAATCTGAACGGTGACACAGACTCAATTGAGAGCCAAAATTTACTCAACTTTAGAGGTTTTATTGCAGAGCAAAGGACGCAGAAAAATTTAGAGTAATTTATTATTTTTTCCATTGAATTATTCCGTTCTCCGCGCTGTGCCTTTCGCAAGATGATCGATTGGCTAAATTGGTGAGAAAATGGGCAATGATGATGATAATGATCTCTCGAGTGGCGAAGGGGGGAATCAATGGGATGACATATGGCAGGAATGAAAGTCTGAGTCACTTTTGGGCCTTATCTCTGCATATTGATTCGTGATGTCATCTGCAACGAGAGAAGCACAGTGTGACTGACGGTGGTGCGGAAGAGGTGGTAAAAAGTGGTAATTGAAATTCTCAAGAATGGGAAAAGGTGCACCAAACCGTCTACAATGTTATAGTTCATTGCGTAAGACCATCTGGGGCGGGAAAAAAGCGCAATTTCATCATGATTGGTTATGCTATGGTGGTGTCGTGAGTATTTCGTTCAATTTCCAATTGGGCTTGCGTGTAATCTCACTTACATACTCTCGAGTGCGCACCACAAATCACATCCTGTTGACTGGCACCGATGACTATGGTCAAATCTCGACCGCACTCCGTGAACTCCACTCGGACGCTCTGCGCTGCGATGGTGAGGGTGAAGCGGGAGCGCAAGAAGTGGATCCCACGGAGGCGGAAGTGCGCCGCGGCGGGCGGCAGGGAGGGGCGCTGCAACACGAGCCGGTCCAGGTGGATGCGAATGCCGGCGTAGCCGAACATGATGGCCTGCAGGAAGCCTCCGGCTCCCGTGAGAAAGTTCACGGCGCCCGTGTCCGCGCGCTCCGCGGACAACTCCCGCCAGACGAGGAAGGGCAGCTCCACGTTGTGCCGATAGCTGCGCGCCAGCATGTCAGCCGCCCTGTCGCGGGCTCCTAAATCTAGGTGATTGATTGCGTACATGGCCCAAGTCATTGCCGGTCCTGTGGCTCTGGTGACATTCTCGTACATGGCTAAATCATTGCGACGTGTCGCCCTGCAAGAATACACCGAGAGAGAGGAGAGATTGAGTGCGGACAAGAGGAAAATATCACTTCTGCTCTTCGTCTGCGGTTCATTGCTAAATATTTATTGCTCTCCAGTGTCATCTGCACATTCTGGTTTGCATTCTTTGCACACTCAGAGCTGTGCTTAGGTGAAAGAGTTAAAATTAGGCGTTATGATAGTAGGAAATTAATTGCTAAAATTGATTTTTCTCGGCAAAATAGTTAAAAAAAAAAATGTTTCAATTTGTTGAAACCGAAGCTTAAGCCAATGCTAATATACGAAAGATTTTAACACTTTCTAATACTTCCGTAAAGTTGTACACCACTTTCGACCATAATATCTGCTCCTTGGCCAGAAGAATACAAAACAATAACACTGCTTGAGTAATACGAGAAAAGCAATGTTTTCACAGAAAAATCGGTGCAACTCCAGTGGCGCCAATTAAATCGTCAAGTGAGCAAATTGACACCTGACTCGAGCAAAGTACCACACTTGTTCACCCCCTGTGCTGTCTTTCTGCGCAATGAGCTGACTAATTGGGCGTCTTTATCGAAACGAACGAACGAATACGATGAGTGCTGGTGGCAGGTTAAGAAGCAATTAATCGGCACTTACGGCGGCATTGGGAACTGGAGTGGGTAGCCGGCGAGGACGGCGTCCGCCTGCTTAATTTGCATCCCCGGCCGATACCCTTCGAACTGCGGATGGTAATTGAGCTGACTGTCGTACGGGATGGCCATGTTATCTGCGATGCGAGTCCAATTGCCCTGCTCGCTGTCGTCGCAGACACACGCGGCGAATCTGGGAAGTGGCGTTAAAGGCAAAAATTGAGATTAAGACCCAAAAATTCATGTGGAGTTGTCATGGGCGGTAAAAAGGCGACGAGGAAGATGGATAATTACTTGTTTCGGGGAGAATTGTTTCTCAGAATGAATGTTAGCGGAATTGTGAGTCACATGTAACAATTTCCATGTCGTGTAAAAACACTTTTACAGTCATTTTTATCCGTAATATCTTTTTTACCTGACCATTATAAATTTCGTTTCTTACTGTCCAAATTGGAGAGCTTGCTTCGCCGCTATATTTGTGTACACGTTGTTGTCCACATCTTCGTGATCTTCATCGGGTCCCATGACATCTTCGCTTGTAATTAAGGCAATGAAAGTTACATAAATTCGAGATCTCTGGAGTTCTAAGTTGAAGAAGCAATGCTATACTTACGACGGATGTCGTATTTGCCGGTTGTGCCGTTAAATTTAGCACGACTGGCCCAGAATTGTGCAATTGGGATGGCCAATTTGCATCCCTCACGTTTGAGCCAGTGGATATCTCGTGTGGCAGCCAGATGAAGTCTCAGTGCATGGCTAATGTCTGCGGTCACATGCTGCTGGTTGGCGGCGACCAGAGGGCAACAGGGCTGCGTGACTTCACGTCCAGTGAATGCACTTTCCCATGGGAATCTATCAAAGTACAATCGCATCGTCATCTTGTGCCGCACAGCCCTCCAACTTGCACATTTTGGGTGTGAACAATTCAATTTGCTACATACACACTGCATTCTCGAGTAGATTTGCGCACTCAAGTGGGCGGAGCTTCGAGGGGGGCGTGGTTACTCACCGAATACCACTGTATCCTGTCTCCTTCGCATAGTCTTGAGCTGCCGGAAAAGCTTTAGTGGCGCGATAGTGAAGCATCTCTGCTGACCAGACGGGACTCATGAGGAGTATAGGCGGATGCATCCAGGTTTCGGCATCCCAAAAGACGTGTCCTTCGTAATCACTGAGATTCGAGCCTCCTCTGCCCAAGCCCGTGGGACTGAGACCCCCGAAGGCACTTCGTGGCTGATTCACACTCGGCGACGGCAGAGAGCTTGCGAGGTAAAAGATGCTGGCATGGATTGTTCTAGACAGACTCAAGGCATCGTCAGAATTATCAAGTTCAACCGCAAAGTCATCCCAAAAATGTTTCCATTCTCTGATGTGCGTGTCGAGCAAATCGAGATCCGTCTGAGCCAATACTTTGGCGTGACATGAAAAATAAAAACATGTTGAGATGAAGAGCCAAGAACACACCACACAAACAATGTGGTATTAATAATGATAATTTCTCCCAACCTAATGATCACAATAGAACGCAGTAAAAACACATACACAGATTCACACGTGAAATAATTAATTAGGCATTAATTTTATTCAGTAACGTGTAAATTGCCATTAAAGACATGGGAGAGACCGGAGAGACATGAGAATGGATGGAGAGAAAATCGCTGTCTGACTGCTTTTCAGCACTATTGGTGCTGTGGAGCATTCTTTTTTCCCCATTTTGCACAAGAACTTCTCAGGAAATTGCCAAAACATTTCTTCACAAACACTTCCTAGTTCAATGCCATTGAACTTGCTGCACTAGAAACAGGGTAAAAAAGAAGACATCGATTTAGGTGATCGTGAATGAATGAAAAAGGGCGAAACTGAGAGATCAAGTTCGCCGGAAGTAATCCTAAATCCCCCCCTAAATGAACCTCAAAATGTGTAAATGATGGGTAAGAGCAGAGAATTCAATGGACTCTCTTCTATACTTTGATTTTCAAGCTGATGGAATTCTTTCAGTAATTAGTTCACTCTTGAGCAGATGGCAATTAGAGGAAGTGATCGTGGAAAAAAAGCGTCTAATCTTTCTTAATTTTCACTCAAAGCAGATTAATGGCAGAGGAAATACTGGTGCTTTTTCTTCGGAATTTAATATCGTATAAGGTGATTTAATGGAATGTTATATACAGTCTGTCGACGATGCTATATAATTCTGGCAAATACTTGTAATGCACGATGTATTGTGGCGATGAACCTCAATTTTTCACGACACTATAAAAGTGTTGAAAATTTCTGTATGTCAGAACGCAGGTGAATTCAGAGTTTTTCACGTTTTCTCTTCAGCCATTTCACAACATTGTATGAGACGCAAAGCACGAGGAGTTATTTAATGTAAATTTAATTGCACATCACCGAATTCCATGAAGATTTATTCAAAATATTCTCTTATTCATGATAATTTGAGGTGTTTTTCTCATGAGCAGATTTCATTGGCATAATGTGTTGTCAAAGGGCTAGGAAAGTGAGGAATGAGTGGCAAATGTATCAAGGAGATCCGTGGTGAATTGATGAAGTTTCCTGTGAAGTTAATTTCGCTGCATTGTAGACTCTTTTGTGCTAATGCACAAAGTCAATGAAACTGGCCAGTGTGAGGGGAAGAAGAATTAATTCACCTGACTTTCTTCGTATTCTAGCACATGGTCAGAGGCGGTGCATAATGCGAAGTGAGCATAATAGTATGCAGAAGTGTCTTGCCATGTATCTCTCACCCCTCGTCATGGTTATTCAGCACTTACCGTCCATCATTTCCTGTTCTGCCACACTAAAATGTTCGTCGACCGTCATTACGAATGTGAAAGACATGGATGTTTTTCTTGTGGTCCCAAGTGTGATTTCTTCTGGAACATGATTCCATAAAACACAGCAATTGGATGGATCTTGTTGGTAGATGGGGTCTTCGACTGTTTTCGTGCTGCCGCAGATTTTTCTGATTGGGACTCCTTCCGTGGGGTTTTTTCCGTCAGTCTCGCGTGGCTGCACACCTTCACTGCCACTGGCGGCGAACTCGATATCATCAGTTGCATTTCCCGGATACTGGCCAATTTTTATGACGACTCCATCGACTTCTGCCGCAGTGTTTTCCCCTGTGACGCGGAATGACAGTGAAACAAGATGTAGAATCATCGAAATGGAGTCAATTCTGATTGTTTAGCAATAATTGGAGCAATTCTCACTAAAACTGGGGAACGTTTACCTTCAAAACATGTAAAAGTTTAGCATTCGAAAGGAATTCTCTTAAAAAGAATTTGCTGCAAGTATTTTTCATGTTCGCGCTTCAAAATCAAAGCCACAGTCATAGATTAATCCGTTTTTGCAACCTTCGGTCTGTCGCGCCGCTTTTTACATGTTCCTTAAAAATATTTGCAATCAAATCGCGCTAAAATACTCTTGTTTTATGGGAAATACAGAATCGTTAAACAACTCGTAAAATTTGTCATGAATTATGGCACGAAATTGAACTCATCTGCTTAGCAAGTGGTTGTTTTTATTATAGCAAACGCATTCATTTGGTTCAGAATTACACATTTAGGCGGTACAAATTGATTTAACACGTGTTATGCGGAATTTCAAATCTCCTTTTATCACAAGTGATGAATTTGGTGAAATTTTGAACATAATTTTCATCGTAAGCCTTACATGTGTGATTCAGGGTAGCGAAAGCTGATTTGAATGAGTAACACATCTTTAACATTGCCCAGTTTTAGTGGGAATTGATCCAAATATTTATATGACTCTGATCTACTGGCCTAATATTTGAATATCTGACCAATTCGATGATATTTCAATTCCACGTGTAATCACGACTTTTTTGCCAGAGCATAAAGAAAGCTTAGAATCCGTCTTCGAGAGGCGCACATAAGAAAGCGATTCGGTAAGATAAGCATTGCAGAACATTACAGTAAAAATTGGTATACCGTAATGTACACATTCATTTCGTTTCGGGATCAGCTCACACGACAATCAAAGTGAGATCGAGAGAAGAAATCCCATGAAAATTGCTTGAGACAATTTTCAAAATAGAAATTTCCTCTCTCTGCTACGGTTTCCGTGTTCTGTTTCTCCTGTCTTGCCTTTTTTTCGGCGTGATGCAACCAACCCAAGTCTTGAGGGATTGAGCCAGTCTGTATGACTTCCCCGATGGATATGGATTTATAATGCATCCATAATTACTAATTATGTTTCAGTGAAAAGTCGAGTGGAGCCACGATTTGTGAACGCTTCCCATACGGTACATTTGAGAGGGCAATAGAAGCTCGATAATCATTGCATTGATGGATCATATAATTCTCTCTCCTCCTCCAGTTTCATTGAATTTCACAAAGATTATTGCAATACACTCTGTGCTTGTTTACCTGTGGTGCAATTAAGAAGAGATATGAAGAGTTGATTTACAATTGCACGGCTATAGAAGCGATGAGCATAAATCAAGTGGTCCAGCTTATAGGCAGCTGATTTAGGCGAGAAGGACGTCCTAAATATTCCACTGCGCACATCCATGGCGTACTTCACGCTGCCATTCAGCTCGGCAAAGTTTGTAATCAGGATGTTGGCATAGTTGGGTATCCGCGCCCTGTGACTCAATCCTTTCTCGCCATTGTACAGGCCATTGAGGTGCACAGAGTCACTCATCACCTGGAATCCCACGTGTCCATTGCCCAGGACTGGCATGAAGTTCATATTCTCTGGAAGACTGAGGCGCAATTGATTCAATTTTCAATCTCCATCATTCACAATGGACATGCGTCTGCACAAATTATCTCTCCAAATCTAATTTACAAGTTTACCTGATCGTTTCGAAGATATATTGATGGTCAGTGTTGTGGTGGAGGTTTTGATGAGAAGACGCTGAATCACCCTTGATTTCCATTATTAATTGAAACAGTAAAACTACACAAATAAACCTCTCACTCTTTCTCTCCATCGTTGGCTCTCCCTCCGTCCGGAAAAAGATTAATATTTATTGTTTGGGGAGAGAGAAACTTTTCCATCCACTCTGATGATTTATGAATAAATTGCAAGAAGTGTTGCAAATATTCACACACGCGAAGATCCACCACAAGAACTCTCTTAGCGGTGTTTATTTGAATAACGTGAAATACCTTCTATACAAAATCACTCATCATGTGAGGAAAACAAGCACTCTGCGACTGACAATAAATATCGCTGCTTTCCTTTTGGCAACCAGAGGGAATTAAAGAACTCATTAGGCATTTCACAAGGTGTCTCCGTCCATTCGCATGCCGCCAAGCCATGCTGTGGCGTTATGAGTGGCGAAAAGGCTGCGTGAGGTCCCTGTGGGAACTTTGTACAGCAAGCCTGACCTACGAACAGTCACAGACGCCTCAATGGTGACCTTAGATTGACCTCTAAGTCATGACGAATTGACGAAGCATTGAAAGTTCGCATTCCAATAACTTTTCTGTTTGACGATTGAGCGTGCAATTTCGCTGAAAATTGCTTAGGCAATACAGACTATTTGTATGCAATTTTCTCGAGATGCACATGTGTGCGAAGAAATAAACAAATATGCACAGTTGTTCTTGCACAGTGTGAAAGACACTGACCAGGATCTTCATTTGGCGGTTGAATATACTTAAAATTTCCCCTCCCATTTTTTTACACTCTACAATCGTGGGACTTTTGGACTCCTTCTGAATATGTTCCCATCCTGATATTTAAGAGAATCCCAGACTATGTGAACCAATTAATTGAATAAAGTGAACACACACACGTATTTTCTTCTCTCAGTGCGGAATAAACATAAAATGTTACTCCACGAAAAAAAACAACAATTTCAAATTCCCAACGTTTCGGTTCGCTGATTTTCCCGCAGTCTCTCGCTCAGTTAGTACCAAGAACACAACAAAAAATCATCACATTAGTAATATTATGTTTGTATTTCTGAATAATATGAACTCATGCCACCTGTTTGAGCGCATAACACCGGTGAATATGATGGAGAGCAGCTAATAATTAAAAGGCAAACTTTGGAGAGGTTAATTCACGCAGTGTCCGTGCATTTATTATAAATTAATGCCAACCGAGGCGACTAGTGAGGTATTCTAGGGGTGCTTTGCAGACAGATAGGGAGCATAATTGATTAATTAGTCTTCCGGAGGACTTTGAGGTCGTTATCTTGTGCAAATTGCAGTTCATCTTCAACAGGAGATTCAGTAGTGTAGAAAGTTCTCTTATTGGATCACCGCATTATGGTGCAATTGCTTATTTGCAGTATAACTTCTAGGAATTCTAAGAAGGTCTTCCACTGATCGCAGTAAGTTCACCTTCTTCCTTCCTGTTTACTACATCACTGCGAAGATCCCCTCGTCCGCGAAGTCGTCATGGCGTTTAGAGTTATTAGTCTGGGCGATGATAATCGGGACTCTGCACTTCAGAGACTCACGAGATGTTTGGCTGGACAGGAAAAGGGGAACGTTCAGCCCCCTTTTCAGTACTATCTGCAACTCCATTTCTGGAGAATTTCTGGGGGAGCCGCGTGGCAACGAGGATCCGAAAGTCGTTGCCCACCTCTCGCTTTTTTCTCCCATCCATTATATTGTATTCTACCTGACTCCACTCATGAATGTACATCACCATTTAATATTTGTGATATCTCATGCGTGACAAGAGCACCGACGCGTCACTACCGCGTTTCCGCTCAATTCAAGGTTCTTTCTCCTCTTCCAGTCCTTTGAATCCACACTGCGCGATGATCGCATCTCACCCGGCAAGAGAGATGGTGGAAATAAAACAATCACGCAATCCACTTTTTGTATACACTTTCCACGGCACTCCAAATCAGATACAATGTGAGCCTCTGTCTACACGAAATTGTACTTCACCTCAACCCCAACTGAAATATTGCGGAAAATTCCGCCAGACAGTTGAGAAGTAATTGCAATCAATCGTCCTGCGATGGAAGTACAATTCTGGCTGAGAATCCACTAAGGATAGTGTCACTTTTCCACCTGCTGTGCTCGAAACTTCAGGGGTTTGTTTTTTGTCCGCAAAGTGTTTTGTTTGTACCTACAGAACAATGAGACAACGCCAAAAATAGGCATAGTAATGATCGACAACGAGCCGCGAATACAATGGCCAATTTTAAGCGTAATTTTCTGGGTAATGATATTTTTCCATATATGTAGAAAAAATGGCTTCTTGCAAAAACACCCGAAAATGGCTTTTAGTGTGTTTGGTTTAATCGAGAGTGTCAAGTTTTGATAAAAAGGTTTTCTTTTCTAGTGCTCAATTTTTAATTCCAGATAATACAGAATGTTTTTAATTACGCCTAATATTTTACAATATGAAATCCTCAGTCCGTGACGAAATTCGCATTTTTCTTGCTAGACAAAAATCTTAATTAATGTAGAAAATATTGTGATAACATCGAGTGAGATTGTGGAGGAATAATTTATCACATCAGCAATTATTTAGTGCAAAGAAGTGAGCATGAATAATTTCCTAGATGGCACACGATATGGTTGTGATAAAGCAAGAGTGTGAATATTTATCTAATCACAACAATCTTATACTTGTTAGTGCGCCCAGTTTAAAGTAGAAACAGCAGTTATAACTTTCCTCATCGTCACACTCACTGAATTTCCAGGAATTGCTAATAATCATATTATTTTGAAAGACGAACTCTTGGAGAGATAATTAAAAGGTCGCTGACGCGAGAACTATGTTGACTATTGCAAATATCGACAATGAGAAATGTCTACGAATGTCGTTCTGATAAATTCTTGCAAAGTCTTGCGAATATTCTAAATTCTCAGTGAGCTGCGTGCCTTCTTAGTGTGTTGGATAAGTATCTATATTGGCATATCGAAACCATCGTGATTAACAAAGCAAAATTTATTAGCAGGTTGACTTTTGGGCTAACCTCTATTAAAAGTTAATCAAATGCACTGCAGATGGAAAGCGAAGACTCCGCTAGAAAATTACATCGCAAAGTTCAAGAATCATGAGCTGTAGATTTATGTTCAATTTTTCATGATTCTCCACAATCTGGCACACACTGTAAGTGATCATGGTTTAATTTTCACATAAAATATCCGTAAAAAGCTGAAATGGTTTGCGACGCAACAGCAAATAAATCTCAATTTGATGTGAAGCATTTGGATGGAATTTAATAACTTTGTGACCAGTAAAAGGTTGTTTTGTTGGCACCGAAGTGAGTCAGTGATTTGCAGTGTGAAGATTATGAGCAATTGATAATGAATTAAACACCTGTTCCATGGCATAAACCGTGGCAATCATTAGTATGTTCATGACCATGGCAACTCTCGAGAGAGACTCTGTAATTGTACTCCGCCAAATCGTCCAAATGCCACACGTTAATAGAAATGTTTCATGTGTAATTTTCACTTATCTCATCTTCAGCAATGATGTATCGAAGGTGTGGAGAGTAAACGCATTCATGATTAGCATTATTCTTGCGAAAATCTTGCGCCTTCCTTGATCTCGTTGCTGTACATCACTGAGCAGTACATCACGGTTCAGAATTCTTCATCATCAGCGACCACGAGGGAGATTATCTTTATTTCTATGAAGATTGGACGGGGAATTTGACTACGCTTTCCAGATGTTGCTGATCTCTATTGTAGCATTTACTCACTCTTGCTCAATCGCAAAGAAGTGAGGTAATTATGAGATGTACAGTAGAGAACCATCGCCGGTGGACGTCGGGATTCGCAAGTAAACCATCAGCATTTGTAGCTTCACAATCTTCCCAGTTCTGACAACACATTCGCTTGCAATATCTGTTCAGCCAAAGCGCCCAGAGAACTCAGTGAGAGTTTCGTTCTAGTCTCTTAACTTGAGCTCAATGTGTAATTGTAATCTCAAACTCTTTTTTTTAGAGTAATTAGTCTCATAGTCTGAACCGCGAAGTGTTAAGCCTGAGTCTTGGGTGTGCACCGACGTCACCATGCGAATAAAATCGTTGGCTGGTGTGTACAATCATTATAATTCATTTTTACCTTGAAAATCGTTCCAATGGCTGCACATTAAATTATGTATTACAGTCTTTTTCCACATTTTTCCCCTTCTATAAAGGTGCCTGTTGCTTTTTTCACTTCTCTCTCTCTCTCTCACTCATTTTTTTCTTCCAGACCAGCAGTATATTTTTGAGAGAGTCGTCGTGCTCTATAAGTATAAAAATCCTGGAAAAAGAATTCTTTCAATTGTCACGGAATTCTCGTCGTTTGAATGGAGAATTTCCAGCATATGAATTTTTTATGAATGTCTGGTGCGATAGAGAGGCGTTTTACCCTCGCCAGAGAAGGCAAAAGGGTCAAATACCTCATGATTTCCTGCTTTAATTGTTGCTATTACATTTGATGAGATACAATTTCGTACAAATTCAGCGCCTCTAATTCATCCCAAAACTACCGAATTTAATCATTTCCACCGTATGTTAGTGAGAAAATCGTGTATAAAACAAATTAGGTAAAATTACAAACACTCTTCAGCACCACTCTTTGGTCGATGGGTGATGAAAGACTTTTCGGGATGCGTGTGTGGCTATTTATCCCTCTCAAATCAACTCCTCTCGGATTGATTGAATTCATTTGGTGTGGAATCCAGAGGTGGCGAAGAAAAAAAAAAGCCTCGAGGAATTCCAGAGCGATCCATTGATTTGTTGAAATGCCACAGCAGAAGATTTGTCACGCTTTAATTCACCATCGATTAGTTGCACTGCTGTTTTACACACTCGATTCAATTGAGTGTCTATTGGAACTGATGAGGATCGGTCAGTCTCATGGGAATGGCAATATTGCGTCTCTCTGAAAGATTCAGAGCGGGAACAAGAAACTCACAGAAGAATCGGATTATTGAGGTAGTTTTGGCAAAAAAAACTCTCTA